CGGCGCATTGTATTACTCGTAGCACCTAGTCACCTAAATGCCATTGGTGGAATTGAGCCTCTATTGCTTTCATTTTATTTCATTTGTTTGGTTGTTGTTTCGTCGCGATCATCTGTTTTACGAAAACCGCACAATGCTTCAGATCCGTCATATCAGCTCGCTTAAATATTTCGCATTTGAAATTACTGTTCGTTAATCAAGTTGTTTGTTGATTCAGTGAGTTTCGTTGACCGGCTCGCAAAGGCGGACGATTCAAACTGTCTTCGGCGTTATCGATCCTGTGCCATTGTTTGAGCTTCGGCAAATCATAACCCCGCTGAGTCCTTTTACGCACTTACCCCAGGTAATTCCTGGCTTTCTCCTGGGACTTCGACCCGTCACTTAAGCAAACAGTAGCTGTTTCGCCTTCCTTTATTGGGAACGTTTGCAAAACTTGTCTGCACCATCGTTGCTCTCAGATAAATTGCTTGAATGTGTCGATTGAAAAAATGTTATTGCTCAGAAGATATACGGGTTTAGCAACACATTAAGTGAGGAACTGTTCATTAGTGCCGGTAAGAGTAATGTGTTTGGTGTATTTGTCGTGGATTGAATTGAAGATTATGAAGCGAGCTTTGTCTCTTTGCTTGAAAGACGATTTGATCTCGTTCCTTCATTCATTAACGGGGTGATTCCTTCGCCTGACGTGACGCACACACATTTCTTCGGTTCATTCATCTTGTTCGCTATTCTTTTCTAATTGCCGAGCGTTTGACAGGAGAGCGCATGTGTTGTCTGCCCATTGTGCGCCTTTGCTGCGGCCGCCAGCCGTCAGCCGTCCCATGCAGCAGCCGTCGGTATGCATGATCGAAGAGGTGCAGCAGTTGTGTTTCCGTCGAGAGGTGATTAAGCGCGCGGTATGGCGGCGGATCTGCTTTCGTCCTCATCCTCGTCCTCGTCCTCCTCCTTTTCATCGTCATAGTTCGGGCTCACTGCCGGCTGTTGATGCGATAGAAGAGGTAGGCGTACGTTCGAGTTTCATCCAAATATTCACTCAGCCAGGTCGGCAGCTGACGGCCCTCGTTTAGTTTTTCGCCATGTGCGTCAACCAC